TTCCGCTCAAGACAGCCACCCAGGCGGCCCTGGACTTAGATTTTAAAACGGACTAGAAACCGAGCCCAGAGAGTCGGCGGTCTCTGGCGGGCAGAGCGGCGCAGGGGGAGGCCGCTGCGTGGGAGCACGGGGAGCACACGGCTGCACGGGGAGCACGTGGGTACACGGCAGGCCAGGCCAGAGGGGACGGGAGAGCGCGGCGGCAGGAGGGGCGGCGTCGCGGAGGAAGCGGACCGGCCGAGGGGAGGCGTCCGAGGCACAGAGTACATCAACAGTGAGGCCAAGAAGGAAACATTCAACCCGAAAGGTGCCAGCAGAGGGGCGCCGGGGGTCCGCGGGGGAGCTTGAGCGTCCGACTTATGATTTTGGCTCAGGTCATGATCTCAGGGTAGTGGGATTGAGCCCCGTGTCGGGCTCTGCGCTCCGTGCAGAGTCCGCTTCTCCCTCTGTTCCCCTGCCTCCTCTCACACACCCGCTCTCTCTCTCAAATAATGAATAAAATCGTAAAACACACCCAGGTGCGAGGAGGTGTTGGCAGGAGGATAACAGGAACAGGGCCATGAGGGCAGACTTGAAGCAGCTCTGTTGAAAGTCCAACCCCGGGGATGTGACGGCCTCGGATAAAAGACGGATGGTGGGACCCCGGGCCGCGTGGAAGGAGCTACAGCCCCACGTGGTCGAAGCCCAGGTCCGTATCCTGTGCCACGGTGACCCCGGGACCCGAATGCTCCCAGTCACCAGACCTATGACGCTCAGAACCAGCCTGGGTATGCGAACAGCTGACTGAGCACCACACTGGGGAGGGAACCGAGGGACTGACCCTCACAGCACAGACGAGCCCCACACGCACTCTGCCCAGACAGAAGCAGGAATGCCTCGTGCACGATGCTTCCCCTGACATTCTAGAACAGGCCAGTATGTCCGGATGGACAGAGAGCTGCTGGGAGGGCACCGGGGCGGGCAGTGACCACGCTCTGCCGCCACAGCCAAGACACAGACAGGCGCCTTTCACGCCCACTGCAGGGAGGTAGAATGAGACCCCGGGAACAGACAGAGGAGGAAACCCCAGGGTCCTCGGGCTGGAGGGTTACACGTGACATATGATGGGCTCTGTCCTGTCCCGTAGACAGAAGATGATGAGGACCGGGGAACCAGGGAGGCCGCCGCTGGAGGCTCTCAGGGACAAGCCCCAGACTGCAGCTGGAGTGCACAGCCGAGCCCCCTGCCCTCAGGGCCAGCACCTCCCCTATTGAGCTGGAGCACTGCCTTCACAGGGAGGGAAGCCCTGCCCCACCCGGGAACCCCCACCCCACCCCTGCTTGGGACCCACCCTCACCAGACCAGGGACAAAAAGCCCCACTCCTCCCCGGGCCCTCCTAGCCTTGGGGCTGAGCTCCAGCAGTGTGGACGCCCTGAACCAGGCCGGGAAGCAGGGAGGGCGGCTTGGGGTTGGGATTCGCAGAACAAACTTTGCCTTCCCCTTCTCTGTGAGACCCCCAAGCTGGAAGTGGGGCTACAGGTGGGCGCGGCCCCCGACAGGAAGGGGGCCGGGGTGCAGGGATGGACAGCCGCGGGATGGCAGGGCACCAGCCTCATGGATGGCAATGAGCAGGGCCTGGTCCAGGACACAGCACACACTCTGTCCTTCCGGAGTCCCAGGGGTCACCTGCAGCTTCTGCTCCCGGCGGGCGGAACCGGGAACAGACGTGTGCCGCAAGCTAGGACCCTGTCCCATGTCTGGTGTCGGGCACATAGGCAGACCCCAGGGGAGCTGGCTGGGCCCCCGAGGGAGCAGAAGCAAGGCCGGGTGGGGCCACTGCGCACCTGGGACAGCGGCCCATGGGGGTCCCCTCCCAGGAGCGAGCGGGGCCCAGTGGAAGTGCCTGGCTCGGCGCCTTTGTCTCTGACACCCGCAGGTGCAGGAGGAGGGGCTGAGCCTGTGGCAGAAGGTGCCACGGGAGCCCTGACGGGGTTGGGGGAGGGGAGGTGGTGCAGAAAGTGGCCCCTCCAGCCAGACCCACCCCACTGCAGAGATGGCAGAGGGACCCCTCCACCTTTGGCTGGCTCACTCTCCCCACCCCTAAGCGTCACTCCCGCCCATCCTGCCTCAGGGTGACCCCCAGCCAAGATTAAATACTTGTTCAAGGTCTGTTCGCGGTCTCTCTCCCTGTCTGGGCCACCGCTGCTCACGGCCCGTGGGTACACATGTGCCCAAGGAGCGTGGCAAGGGTGGCTGGTGGGAGCAGCCCCCACACCTCTGTGCCCCACCACCAACCCCACCGCCTGGAGGGGACGGGCCTCCTCCACTCACTCCCCTGGCTCAACGCTGGGGCAGGGACTTCCTAGGCCCCCAGGAGACTCCACTCCAAGCCAGGGGCTGTGGAGAGACGGGAGGGAGCCTGACCTGCCCTACCGATGCCCCCTGCCCCTGCTCAGCACCCTCCTGGTCACTCAGTCCTAAGAGTGTCCTTGGGGACTAGGTAAGTCAGCTGTGATGGACAAGGAGCCCAGGGGACACAGGGGACACAGGCCCTGTGGGAACACAGCGGAACCACTGGGGGACAGTCCCCTAACTTCATCTCTCATGTTTAATTCCTTCATTTCCAGAGCAAGAGGCTCAGGGCGCAGAAGCTGGTCTTGACAAGGTGGAGGGTGGACATGGGGGCACCCCGTGGGCTCCCACACCTTCCTGCACAGACGATGCTGGCCCAGAGACCCTAGGAGGTCGCCCAGGCCGAGCTCTCCCTGGACAGGTGGGTAAACGGGCTGGGAAGAGGGTCCCACATGTCTGTATGTGGCAGGGTGCGCCTTGGAACATCCGGATGCCACCAGCTCAACAGCCTGCCCAACCCAAGTCCGGGCGCCAGACTGAGGGCAGTGGCTGTCCAGCCGCCCAAGGGGCTGGGAGGATGTCCCCCAACCCGACCCCGCCGGCGCGCAGAGGGAGCCTGGGGTGTGGGCAGGCAGCCTCTGAGGGAAGGCCCCTCTCGCTGCCGGCTTGCCCCCATGGCCCCTCCCCCCCCCCCCTCTCCCCCCCGCTCCCCCGGCGCCCGGCGATGCCAGCGACGTCACTGCCGATAACCTAGATTTTAACCAAGAAATCGCACTCCCCCCCCTGCCCCACTTACGGTCTCACCAAGGAGAAAACCCAGACTGTAGCACCCGAGGCCGGCCCCAGGCTCTGCCCGCCGAGGCCTGCTGTCCTCTCCCGTTTCCCATCCTGCCTCCAACACCCCCAGGGAGAAGGCGGCAAGGGGCTCCTTGGATGAGTGACCCCCTGCAGGTACATGGCCCTGGGCCAGGCCTGTGCCCCCGGCATCTTGTCTTGGGGGGAGGTTTTGGGGGGATGCTGGTGGGAAAGCCAGGTCACGGTCAAGGCAGAGGAGCCAGTCCAGGGAAGCTTGGCCTCCCCCAGCCTGCCCTTCCCATGGCCACCATTCCATGCTTCCTTGGAAAACCCAAGCACAGAGGCAGGCCGCTACAGTCCTGAGAAGGAGACCCCAGACTCATTTCTGCCGTCCCAACACCTCGCCCTCTCCCTCAGCACCCCACTCCGGCCAAGGCCCATGGCCACACTGGAGGGAGACGTCTGGAGACTGGGGTCCTCTCCTGGCCCCATGGTGTCCCACGGTGGGCCACTAGTGGACAGTCCCTGCCCCTGGACTTTTGGCAGATTCCGGCTCCCTCCAGCTGAGTCTGGGGCCCCACGCGGCCCTTCCCCGGCCCCCAAGGTGGCTGTCAGCAGTGGGCAGAGGGAACTACACATGGGACAGCTTCCCAGAGGCCCCCCTAAGGCCCAAGCCCAGAGCCGGTATCCTAGTACCGGGACACCAAGCCCCTCCCTCTGCCACCCCAAGGAAGAACCACACCCAGATCAACGTGGTCTTTGCACTACGGTCCTGTGGAAGCCACTTAACTACCACCACGTGCATTCAAATGAAGTCATGAGTCCTATGGAAAAACCGTCCACTCACAGCCCCAAGGAGCACAGGCGGGTGCCCCCGGCAGAGCCTCCCTGCTCCCCACAGTGCTGAGAGGGCGCCGGCTTGGCCAGACCACCCCGACCTTGGCTGCTCTTGGGGAGAGGCCGTCCCAAGGTTCCCAGCAGGTCGGATTGGCCAGTTCCAGGCTGGACATGGAGTACGTGGGGGCAGGGGGCAGCATCTGTCCCATCAGGGCACCAGGACGCAGGGCACCAGAGGGGAGGAAAGTCAGCGCACTGTCCCTCGGGGCCCCAGCTCTGGAACGTCACTTCCCGCCAGCACCACGTGTCCAGAGCTGATCCACTGGGCACGGGACCTGCATGCAAATGAGCAGGCAGCGGGCCCAGGCACACAGCCAGTTTTCGGGGAACACGGAAGGCAGGTGGATACCCGATCCGGGGCCCCAACTCCCGGACCCTCTGGCCAGCAGACCCCAAAGAGTCTCCAGGAACCGGGACGTAGTATGTAATGCCACGTCCAGTCAGGGCATCCCCGGTACACAGGTCCCCAGTGGGGATCCCCCCCACAAATACCTTGGGGGGGCCGCTCACTCAGTTCAACAAGCACTTTCCAGACTGTCCCTTGATGCTGGACCCCGGGAGGTGGCAGCACACAAGCCGGATACAGGGGAGTCTCTCACCTCCTTGAGTCCCAGGGAAGGGCTGAGGTCAAAGTTCAGGTAGACGGGGCCCCACTGGGTCACTAAGGCCTTGAGCAGGTGGGTCGCACAGTACCCCATGAGCCCTTGGGCAGGTCCCTGGGCCACTGAGGTCCTCACTGTCCTCTCGTGAGCCCCAGGCTGTGGCTTCTGGGGGGAGGTTTCACCCAAAGTCAGGCATCCGGTCCTCAGCCTCAGCTGGGGACTGTCCCCTGAACTCCCCTGGCACAGCGGCCACCCCGAGCGCTCACGGCCAGAGGTCAGCCCCACCTCGGTGCCCGCGCGGGGCCCAGAGAGCACCTGCCCCCACTGGTGGGGGCAGCGGGCAGGGCATGGGCCAGGCCCCCTCCGCGCGTTACCTGCGTAGCTGCCGGTGGCCTTGATGTACATCTGGCCGAACTGCTCCTCTGCCATCGTGTCATAGGCCTCGTCGTCCTCCTCGTCCTCCTCGTTGTGGTAAGAGGTGGGGCTGTCGGTGGTGGGCAGGCTGCTGGCCCCCGGGCTGGTCCGCTCTCCCTGGGAGTAGGGCACCTGCTGGATGCTGGGGATGAGGGTGGCCAGGCTGGGCACCCCGTAGTAGGACACCCGGGGCAGCTTGAGCGGGGCTGCGCCCGCCGCCGTGGCACCCGCCACCACCGTCGTGCCATCCCGGGGCCCCGTCTCCAGCGGGCGCTTGGGGGCCAGGCCCGGGCCGGCGGCCGGCGGCAGCTCCGTGGCTTCGTGCTTCACGCGGGTCAGCAGCGGGATGGGCACGGAGGGGGACACGACGTAGGGGGGGGCTGCGGGGGCGGCCGGCTGCAGCTGGGTGCAGGGGCTCTGGGGCTCCGAGCTGGCGTCCTCGATCATGGCGGTCTGCGAGTCACAGTGGGGCGAGCTCACCTTGAACATGAGGTCCGTGCCGCGCTCCACGATGTGCTGGATCTGCAGGAACCCGGCCGTGTACATGACCACGAGCTGCTCGCTGGCCGCCATGGTCAGCCTGCCCGTGTAGCAGAAGGACAGGATCTGCTGGAAGCAGGCGGGCGGCACGGTGCCCGGCAGCTCGAAGGCGCTCTTGCTGTTGCCGCTGAACAGGTCCCGGAAGTAGAGGCTGCTGGCGGCCAGGACGGCCCGGTGGGCCTTGAAAGCCTGGCCTTTGACCACGATGGACACATCACAGTAGAGGCCCAGCAGGCGCTGCTCGTTGAGGCAGCCGAGCACGGTGTTCCCGAAGTTGGGGATCTCGATGTGCAGCATCTGCGACATGGTGGGCAGGCGCTGGAGGGCTCGCCTCACACTCAGCACGGGAGCGCCCGAGGGGGGCACATCTGCAGGGAGACAGGGCGCAGGGACACCCGGGTCAGGCTGCTGGACAGCCAGGGCTCACCCCAGCAGGCCCGAAACACACATACACACCCCCGCCCCTCCTCCTCGCCCGCCCCAGGCCCTCCAGCAGGGCCCTCCCCAGCGGACGGACAGACGGCCCAGGGAAGGTCCTGGGGCCGAGCTCCTCACAGCGGGACCCTGGCTGGGCCAGCACCCCACAGGGACTCAAGAGCTGCACAGCCGCATTCCAGCGGCGGGGTGGGGGGGGATGCCCCTGACACCTTGTGCAGCTCCCAGAGCCCACCCCCAGGACAGCGCTAGAGCCCTCGGGCAGGAACGCCCCGTCTTAGCAGAAGTCAGGAACAGAAACGGAGGCCTGCACTCCGGGAGGACAGAGAGGACGGGAAGGACAGAGGACAGAACACGGAACAGGGCACAGCCAGCCGCGGCGGCTGAAGGGGTGAGGGTGGCGGCCCGTCTGCAAGCTCTTCTCCCCAGGAAAAAGTTAGCAGCAAAGGGCCCCACATAGCCCTTCCCCTAGGGGGGCTGGAACCCAAACCAAGTGGGTCCTGGAAGGGGGTCTTTTGGTCTCTGGTTTGTTTTTCTCCTCTTCGCTTGGAGCTGCCGCACAGAGGGCCCTCAAAGGGGGAGTCCCGCTCCACTGGCTGAGAAGCCGGCCCCTCGTCCCCCTGCGAGGAGGGCCAGGGTGGGGCGCCCAGGGAAGTGAACTGAAGCTAGAAGTCAGGCGCGCCCGCCACCGCCGCCCCTCCCCCGGGGGACCGGCTCCCCAGGCCACCGGCACTGCCAGGGACGCACCACAGCTGGACCACCACTGGGGAGCCTGGCGCAGCCCCACCTGCCCGCCCTCCCAGTCCCCCAGCTCCCCACGCCGGCCATTCCCTGCTGGCTCGATCCCAGCCCAGGTGACTAAAGGGGTCAGGGGGAGACAGGGGAGGGACCGGCAAGGGCTCAACGGGTGCCCCAGGGGCTGGGGACGGGGCTCCGCGAGGTTGATCTGATGCCGGATTCACGGGTGGGGGGGCTGGGGACGGCCGGCAGGGGGGAGGAGGCGCCGGCCGAACTCCGCACAGCGGCGCCCGCACAAAGGGCCGCTCTGTCCCGCGGGAGGAAAGTGCAGGCGGCCGCAGAGGCGCCCGGGGCCGGGGGAGGGCGGGCGGAGGGAGGGCGGAGCGCCCGACCCCGGCGACAGGAGTTGGGCAGATGGGTGGCTGCTGGGGGAGGGCCCGCAGTGCCCCCGCCGCGGAGAAGTTGCCGGCCGGCCGTGGCACCGGCCCGCGGGGCAGACCTACCTTGGGCAGCAGCCGCCGGGGGCCCGGCACTGCCCGCTCAGCCTGGCAGGGGCAGGCTCGCCAGCTGCTCCGGGAATGCAGCAAACAGAGCGGGAGCCCTTGGGGTGGGGAGGGCGCGCGGAGCTGGGAGAGGAGGAGGAGGAGGAGGAGGAGAAGGAGGGAGGAGGAGGAGGGAGCAGGGCAGGGAGTCTGGGCGCTGGGCTCGCGGCCGCAGCTCAGCTGCACCCAGCCCGGCTCCCGGGGCAGCGCACAGCATCTAAATGCAGAGGCCGGATGCAGACGGACATTCGGGCGGCTCTCCGGAATGAATGCCGCCTTTGATTTGGGAGCCCAGTAAATGCCAGCTCCAGCCCCGGCTTTCACAACAGTGGAGTGCTGGTGCCACAGGAATGCACGCTCCGGGTGTTGGTACAAGACAGACTTTGATGACTCACCGCAGTGCAAACAAAGATGGCAGAAATACTGTACTGTACGCGGAGCGCTCCGCGGTGCCACGGCAACTGAGCGCCCAGATGTATGGTGCAGCTCTGCATGCGAATTACCCAGTCAGCCGCCGCTCTGCCATCCAGGACGGCCCGAGTGTCAAAGCATTTAAACTATTCCAAACAGTCTGCAGGGCTGGCAGAGCCACCAACTCCGCCAGGGCGGGCGGGGGCGGGGCGGAGTAGGGGTGGGGGGATGAGAGTGGGGGAGGGGGGCAGGACAACAAGGGGGGCGGGGGGGAGAGTGGGATAGGGGACAAATTGGGTAAGGAACAAGGGGGATAGAGGGATGTCAGAATGGGGGGACGAGGGGGTAGGGGCAGGAGGAGGGGGTGGGAGGACAAAGGGGATCACGGGTATGGAGGGCTGGGGGGGTAGGGGGACAAGGAGGATGGAAGGGGATGGGTGGACAAGGGGATGAGGGGACGGGGGACAAGGAGGACCAGAGGGTATAGGGGACCAGGGGACGAGGGGGTGGGTCAAACAGGGCAGGAGCTAGATGAGGGTAGGGACCCCAGGAGTGGGGGGGGGGGGTGTGAGAAAAGCAGCATGAGAAGATGAGAAAGGAGGTGAAGAAAAAAAAGTGGGAGAGGAGACCCAGAGCCCCGCAGCGCCCCATTCTACCTCCCACTTCTCCCTGAGGTCCCCAGAGCAGCAGCCCCAAACAGGGCAGCCCAGCACCCCATCCCACTCGCCCAGGAGTCACCCTGCCCCCCATGCCCTGAGGTGGGTCTTGTCAAGACGTGTGAGTGCAGTTGGGCAGGGTGGGGGGGTGGCCACAGACCTCACAGCTGGGCAGGACCTAACCCCCCACCCCCCATCCCCCATCCCCCACAGGTGGGCAAAGTCACCATTGGTGACGGGATGGTGGGATGATGGGATGGGATGGTAGGAAGGAGGCCAGGCTGCCACACAGGGCCCATGGCATCTCCCCTGCCCCCGCTCCCAGGCCCCTCTCTGGAGGGAAGGCTATGCTGAGCCTCTGCCGGCCCGTTCTGGGCTCACACCACCTGCAACCGGCCCAGCCTTGGTTTCCCCTCTTGCCAACCGTGGCCCTGGGCAGAGCACAGGTCCCTACAGAGAGGGGCAGGGACGAGGCTGGCAGTGGCTGCGGTCAGGCCCCGGGGGGGGGGGGGGGGGTGGCCCCCCCCCCCCCGGGGGGGGGCCCGGGGGGGGGGGGGGGGGGGGGGGGGGTGGGGGGCAGCAGCCCTCCCACAGGCGAGTGGCATCGGGAGAAAGAAAGGGCCATCTGGCGCCTCCCATTCACACACGGCGCGCTCAGCTTCCCAGAGCACATAAAGCGGAAAGCAGCACAGGAAGAAATCCAGGTGTGGGGAAGCGCCCCCAGGGGCGGCTCGGGGCCTCCCACCTCACGGAGGACTACCCTGGGGGAAGGGTGACAAGCCCTGCGATTGCAGCGTTGACAGAAATGGTCCCTGCTCACTGCTCTGGGGACCCGGGGGCCAGCCGGGGGACACGGGGGCCTAACCCTCAGCCCCTCAAAACCCCCGGCTCGTGACGGAGCAAGTCCAAACCCCAGTCCCCCCTCGCCTCTACCTAGATGAAGAATTCCCGCGGCTGGGCCGGCTTTAGGCCACACGCCCCTCACAGCCTGGTCCCCACTGCCCCGGCCCTGGGGGACGGCCACTCGGCTGCCCTGGGCACCAACAGTCCCGAGCGGGCATTCACGTGGATGCTCAAGTCTGCACAACCCCAGGGTGGGGGCTGTGGGGGGTGGCCTTGCCAGCCTGCCTTGATCCAGACCCAGAAGGACCGACCCAGGGTATCCCCCACCAGAAGCCCTGTCAGGCTCCAGACTGGATAGAGTCTCCTTTTCTTGGGGCCCAGGAGAGGCCCAATGGCCCCCAGATGAGGGGGCTGAAGCCCTGGGGTGGGGGTTGGGGACACAGCCCCCACATGCCACCCAGCCACAAAGGAAGGCAGACTAGGCCACAGGCAGAGCAGTCATGGGGAAACAGGGGACACCCAGAGACAAAAAACTGGTGGAACCCGTGCTGGGGAGGGGAGGGGACGGCCAACCTTGGCCTGGTGCAGCACTCAGGCCCCTGGGCCCCAGGACACACAGCCTGTCCTCCCTGACAGACCTGCCCACCTCAGGACTCTGCCTCTTCATCACCTCCTCAGAGAAGCCTGCCAGGTGCCCTCTTGAGCTGAGCGAGGCCAGGTGGGTCTGCACAATGCCTGGTGGGCTTTAGCCAAATGCTGGGAATGCCCGGGAGGGCTGCGGGAGTGGGGCTGCGCTGGCCAGTGCATAGCGCTTTGGAGGGGAGCCCCCCGCATGGCCCCTTCACAGACCCGCAGCTCCGGCTGCCAGGAGTCTCCCAGAAAGCCAGGTAGGCTACCCTGGGCCAGACCAGGGCGCTGGTGCTGAGGGGGGGACCCAGGCTGACAGGGGTGGACAGAGGCCAGCAAAGGTGCATTGGGCACCAGTTCCTAGAGGGTCTCAACTGCCTGGGGCTGGGCAGGACAGTGACCAGGTCCACAACTGAGAGCAAGGGACAGCGTGAGGCCCTCAGAGCCCGTCCCTTCACACGGCAGGTCCCCCCTGGTCAGCAGGCTGGAATCTCGGGTCCCAGGAGGACAACAACCCCCTGTGCCAGCCCCACCTGACTACTCTGTGTCCACGTCCTGCGGCCTCAAGCAAACGGGGCCCCATCTGGGAAGCTCGTCTGGGAAGCGGGGGCCAGGGTTACCCTGGACGGTCACCACAGGGTGGAGGGCGATGGTGTTAGCAAACGGCACCACGAGGACGCATACCTGCCGTGACCTGGACGGGAGGCAGTAGTGCAGGTGGGTGTCTCTCCCTCCACCCCCCTCCCCGCCCCGCTCGCCCCCACCACCCCCGCCCCGTACCCCAGGGCCGCAGGCCAGCCTGGCCAGAGCCGGCCCATTATTCCCCTGGAAGGTGATGAGGCCGTCCGGTCTCCGGGGAGAGAGGCCCGCTGTGGCGCTGCCGCCGTGTCCTCAAGCCACCTGCAGGCTGGAGCTGCTGCCCCACAGCCCAGCACCCCCCCAAGGGCCCTGGGGGCGCTGGTGTTAGATTCTTTCTTAGAAGCCCAGGCTGAGATGCAAACAAAGCTGAACTTTAGGAGACAAGAATAAAATAAAGGCTTGGTTTACGTGCCCAGAACCCTGAAAACAGGACAGGCCGCAGCCAACCGGCGC